GAAATAGGGAATTGATGTTGGTCTTATATTTAACTTATTTCACATGTTTATTGATTTTTTTAAAATTAATCATATTGATATTTTCTTAACAATAATCAAGTAAGAGAGGAAGGGAGAGAATTAAAGAAGTTGCTTAGGATGTTTAAAAAAAAAATCATATTAACTAATTTAGCTAACATTCTTAATTTACTCAAATTAGTTAATTAGGTCTTATATTAAGTATCAGAAAAATATTTATTATAAATAAATAATTTAATTAATTTTCTTAACATTGTTATGAAGCAAAACCTTTTAGAAGTAGTACAAGAAACCTAACTATTCTTATAAAGCAAAAGCTTCCAGGAGTACTCACATGGATCATATCGTACGATTCGATTGATACGAGGGAAAGGAAGATGAGAGAAAAAATTTTAACGAGTCTCATTTAAAAAATTGAAAAAATAAGGTTAAATTTTTTTTAACTAATTTTGTTTACTCCTTTACTTTACATATTCCTTTCATCAAAATTTTATAATCTCATTTTTAAAAACTTTTTAAATCGAGTTCATTAAAATTTTTTTCCTCTTTCTCCCTTCCAATTCTCTTATATCAAGCATAGGGTTAGAGTAGATCTATAAATCATATTTTATACTACCTCCAATTCTAATTATAAGAGCTAGTTGACTAATTTGAGGAGATTAAACAAAGAAGTTAAGTTAGTTATTTGTAATAAATAAGTATTGTCTTTCCTAAAATATCCTTGCTAATCAAGTATATAGTCAGAACTACCATTATTAAAAAGACTATATTGAGAAAAATGTATAAATATAAGAGATAAAGTGGATTGAAGTCTTATATTTAGAACCAAAATAAAAGTTAAATAAAATCTTATATTAGGAACTGGAGGTAGTACATTGCAAATCCCTTTTCATTAAAGAGTATAAATAGAAGGATGCACGGATATTAATTTTCAAAATATATATGTATGTGTGGATATATTTGTGTAAGTTTTAAAATTATGCACCGATTTTCTCAATGTTAAGTAAAGTAACAAAATCTTGTATAAAAAATAAAACAACAGTAATATTAATAATAAATAGAAATTAATTCTACTTTTAATATTTAATATAAGAGTTATATAACTAATTTGAGAATATTAGAAAAATCAGTTAAATTAATAATTTATCATTAAAGTGTTTCTTTGATTTGATCTTTTCCTGGTGAATGTATGAGGACATGTGGCTGTGCAATCATGTTTGATTGGGGAAAAAAAATGAGCAAAACATACTGCGAAAATCAATTTTGAATAGCTGGATTATGACATGAGATTGTACAAAATCGATTTTGATTTATCATAAATATATGGGAGAATTACGAAGAGGCCTAAGAAAAGAAAAAAAATTACAAAATAAATCCCAAAGTTTTTATTTTTCATTCTAGAGCTTGTCGTTACAGGCTGCTTAAATTATTATTGGAACTTTTTAGTAATTTTTTTTGGAGATTTGATTGTAATTCTCCTTAAATCTATTTGGCGGGACAAAATCGTTTTCCATAGAAGACAATTTAAATTTCAACTAGCGGAGGAAATAGCTTTCTCGATTTAATTAACTTTAAATTGGATAAATTATTTATCATGAGCAAAGTCTTGTTTATTAAACTCAGTCAAAATTTTTTTGTATTTTAAAATATATGATCAAAACAAAAAGTTTTTATAATACTACCTTCGGTTTTAATTATAAGACCTTGTTTATAGATTATAAACTGGATCTTATAATTAGGACCGAATGTAGTAATATGTTGTTTGCCCAATTTAAATTTAAATTGTGAATGTTATGTTGACTAGAAGTTGATATTCGAATTATACTCCATGAAAATATATTTCACCCTGAAAAAATTGATTTCAAGCTTTCTTTTGAAGAATCAAAATCGGCTTTACTTTATAAAATTAATCCCGTATTTTCTTATTTTAATATCAAGTTGTTAAACTTGATTTCCATAATCTTTGTGCTGTTTTTTTTTTCATCAAACATGGCTGTACAACAAGTCTAAGGCTCGTTTAGATTAGTAGTAGAAAAAATAACTTATTTGCAATGTGATTTTTAGAAAAGTGAGATTGGGTAAAAATTAGATTGTGTAATGTGATTTATGTTTGGAATGATTTTTATAAATAAGTTAGTTTGTGAAAGTAAGTTGTTTGGATTATGATTGAATAAGTAATTTTAGTTTGTCAAATTACAAAAATGAATATGACTTTTATTAAATAATAAAAATCTTATTCCATATGTTATTAAAAGAGTAAAATGTATAGGTTTTTTTTTTGGTATGCATTTATATTAAGAAGTTCATATTACTCTATCCATCCCATGAAATGTTAGAAAAATTATTTAGATTTCTAATACAAACTCATATTAATTATTAGTAAGAATTTTAGCAATAAGATTACAAGATATAACATGATAAGAATATCTATATGGCAGATATAACAAAGTACTTAAGAAAATGACAAATTTGATGCTGAAATATACTAATACATTAAGATTCTAATTTTTCAACTATAAGGAAAAAAACTTTCCTTTAAAAAATTATTAATTTAATGGTGTTGGAATCAAATAATTAAAAGGTCCTATTCCTATTACCCAAAAAAGAGTCCCTGTTCCCATAAATTTCTTATCAATATATAAGAATTAGTATGCAATATTATATTATGCATTGTCAATTTTTGGCTCTTAGTATTTTCAAATTTGTTTATGTAAAACATTTTGTATAAATAAATACTATATAATGTCAAGTTTTCATGGTTTAAATTTTTTTCAAAATAATATTATTTTAAATTATAAAAAGTATTATAAATAAAAAGGAAATATAGAGAAGAATCATACAGAGGAAGAGGGGATCAACAAGAGAGAGTATTTCTCTTTCTATTCAAGGGGGTGCTTAATACAGTATACACGGCCTCTATTTATAGGCATGGCTTTATATCTTTGATAGAATCTACAGATATAATAATAAAAGGTAATTTCAGATAATGGGGATAATGGAAGATATTAAAGATACTGGGAGATAAAGGAGATAATGATAGATACCTGGACATCCATAAAGATATTATATTCATAACACTCCCCTTGGATGTCCATAACTAAATATGTGCCTCATTAAAAAACTTCTACTAAGAAAACCCTATGGAACAAAACCTAGTAGAAGAAAAAGAGTGCAACATTTATTGATATAAATTTCATAGTGCTGCTTCGTTAAAAACCTTGCTAGGAAAACCCAATGGGAAAAACCATAGACAAGGAAAAAAGAGTACATCATACATCTACTCCCCCTCTTGACAATGTCAGTTGATATCTCTGAGTCGGCGAAGCCCAATGTCATGAACAAGTCTCTCGAACGTGGTGGCTGGAAGTGATTTGGTGAATAAGTCTGCTAAATTTTCACTGGAACGAATTTGTTGGATATTGACTTCACCATCCTTTTGAAGGTCACGAGTGAAGAAGAATTTTGGAGAGATATGCTTTATTCTATCTCCTTTGATGTACCCTTCTTTTAGTTGGGTAATACATGCAGTATTATCTTCGTATAGTATTGTTGGGATAATTTTACCAGAAGACAAGCCACAAGTAGTTCGTATGTGATGTATTAAGGATCTTAACCATACACATTCCCGACTTGCTTCATGCATTGCTAGAATCTCCGCATGGTTAGATGATGTGGCTGATATAGTTTGTTTTATAGATCGTCATGAAATGGCTGTACCAACACATGTGAATAGATAGCCAGTTTGTGATTTACCGACATGTGGGTCAGACTGAAATCCAGCATCTGCATAGCCAACAAGATCGGTTGGATGCATTCGAATAAAATAATCCCATGTCCATTGTACCCTTAAGATAACGAAAGATGTGTTTAACTTTATTCCAATGCCTTCGTGTTGGTGAAGAATTATATCTTGCTAGTAAGTTGACTGCAAATGATATATCAGGTCGCGTATGATTAGCAAGATACATTAGTGCTCCAATTGCACTAAGATATGGTGCTTTTGGACCAAGTAGCACTTCATCACCTTTTTTCCTGATTTCTCGAGGTCTAAAAGGGTCCTTATCCACCTCCAAAAATCTTACAACCATTGGAGTACATAATAGATGTGATTTATCCATATAAAAACATTCTAGGATCTTTGTTTTATAAGTTTCTTAATATACAAAAATTCCATTTTTCAAATACTCAATTTTTAATCCAAGGCAAAATTTTGTTCTTCCTTGATCTTTCATTTCAAATTCTTTCTTTAGGCAATTCACTGCCTTTTTAAGCTCTTCAAGAGTTCCAATAATATTATATATCATCAACATACACAGCGATTATAATGAACTCATTTCCTGATCTTTTCATAAAAATGCATGGGCATATTGCATCATTTTTATATCCTTCCCTCAATAGATACTCACTAAGCCTGTTATACCACATTCGCCTGATTGCTTTAATCCATATAGGGAATTGTTTAACTTAATTGAGTATTGTTCTTGAGAGTTTGAATTATATGCTTTTGGCAATTTCAGCCCTTCAGGGAGTCTCATATAAATGTCATTGTCAAGTGAGCCATACAGAAGGCTGTAACAACATCCATTAGATGTAAATTGAGCCCTTTATTTACTGCGAGGCTAATCAAGTATCGAAAAGTAGTTGCTGGTGAATAAGTTTCTTCAAAATCGATACCAGGTCTTTGTGTAAATCCTTGGGCAACAAGTCATGCCTTGTATCTTATGATTTCACCCTTTTCATTTCTCTTTCACACAAAAACCCATTTATATCCAACCGGTTTTACATCTTCAGGTGTAAGGACTACTGGTCCAAAAACTTTTCGCTGTTCTAGCGATTTTAATTCTGTCTCAATTGCATCTTTCATTTTGGCCAATCCTTTCTTTGTTTACATTCACTAATTGACTTTGGCTCATGATCCTCATTATATTCATCACATCGAGCGCTACATTATAAGAGAAAATATCATCGACGTCGACTTCACTTCAGTCCCATCGTATCCCATTCATAACATAATTAATTGAGATCTCATCATTTTCACATATTTCAGGTACCTGACTTTCACTGAGAATTGGGACGTTAGCGTTGTCTAATGACTCTTCTGGAGTTGCTAACTTTTCTAAATTATTCTCGACTAGGCCATCTATACTTTTAGCTCCTTTTTTCTTAGGAGGATTTTTATCTTTGGAGCCGATGGGCCTGCCACGCTTCATGCATGCTTTAGAATCATTCACAATTGGTTGTCCATCAGGGACATCAATTTTAATAGGAGCATTAACAGTTAGAATATGTGATTTTGTTACTCTCTTCGGGTCAGTAAATGCATCTGGTAATTGATTTGCTAAACTTTGTAAATTGACTATCTTTTGAACTTCCAATTCATATTCTTTTGGGTGAGGATCAAGATGAGACAGTGATAATTCTTTCCAGCTAATGTCCTTTTCCAACTTATTATTTTCTCCTCTCATTGTTGGAAAAACTAACTCATCAAAATGAAATCAGCAAATCGAGCTGTGAACAAATCTCCTGTTGAAGGTTCTATATATTTTATTATAGCGGAGATTCATATCCAATATATATTCCCATCCTTCTTTGAGGCCCCATCTTGGTACGTTGTGGGTAGCAATTGGAACATATATAGCACATCCAAAGGTTCTTAGATAGGAAATATTGGGTTCCTGACCAAAAACCACTTGTAAAGGGGAGGACTTGAGATAACTTGTTGGCCTGATGTGAATTAACATTGCTGCATGCAAAATTGCATGTCCCCAAGCAGAAATTGGGAGATTTGATCTCATAAGTAATGGTCTCACAATTAATTGTAAACGTTTGATCGATGATTCTGCAAGTCCATTTTGTGTGTGCACATGAGCCACAGGATGTTCAACATCAATCCCAAGAGACATAAATAATCACTGAAAGCTTGTGAAGTAAATTCACCAGCATTATCAAGATGTATTTTCTTGATAGGAAAATCAGGGAAATGTGCTCTTAATTTAATTAATTGAGCCAATAATCTTGCGAATGCCAGGTTACGCGAAGATAATAAACAGACATGCGACCATCTTGTTGATGCATCAATTAGAACCATAAAATATCGAAATGGTCCGCATGGTGGTTGTATCGGTCCACAAATATCTCCCTGTATGCGTTCTAAAAAAGTGAGAGGCTCACTTTTTAGTTTTCCTGGTGATGGCCGAACAATTAACTTTCTCTTGGAACATGCATTACATGAGAAAACATTGGATTATGGTATTTGTTGACTTTTCAATGAATGTCCACATGAATTCTCAATTATTTTTCGTATCATAATTGTCTCGGGATGGCCTAACCAGTCATGCCAAACATTAAATTTGTTATCATTTATAAACTGCTGGTTTATAATGATGTGTACTTCAATTGTACTAATAATTGTGTAGTACAAGCCAGAAGAAAATGTTGGCAATCTTTCTAATGTGTATTTTTTACCTGAGGTTGACTTTGTAATAGCAAGATATTCTTGATTTTCCTCAATTGTTGTTTCAATATGGTATCCATTCTTGCGGATATCCTTAAAACTCAACAAATTTCTTTTAGACTTAGTTGAGTAAAATGCACTATCAATGTATAATATTTTCCTTCAGGTAACAATATATTGGCTCTTCCGGAGCCTTCAATCAGTTTTGCAATTCCAGATATAATCTGAACGTTGGCTTCTTGCATTACCAAAGAAGAGAAATACTTTTTATTTCTAAGTATTGTATGAGTTGTTGCACTGTCAACAAAACATAAATCTTCATGATTGACGTCAATAGGAGCCATTCTTCGTTACAAGGAACATAGTCAAGAAAGGGGGGAAGAAACAAAATTAATAAAAGGAAAATACTCATAATTTTATTAATTTGGAAAGATAACAACATTGAAAGAGAAACTTTATAAAAGAAGATGAAAAAAAATCATAGAAATTTAACTTCACTAAAGCAATTTATTGTTGAACATTCCCATAACCAATCAGGTGATCGATCTTCTATTAGGATCAGCAAAGAAATCAGCAATATCCAAATGAGTGACATCCATGTTGCCATAATTAGAATCGCCCTCTTCATCAACAAAATTGGTTTTTGCCTTTGGCATTGTGCCGTTGCCTTTACTTTTATTTTTAAGTGATTCTTGATAAAGGTCAACCAAATGTTTCGGTGTACAACAGGTACGTGACCAATGACCATTCCCACCACAATGATAACACGAGTCTTCAGAGTGGTTATTACTTCCACTAGTTTTTCTTTGCGATTTTCATCATTCTTTACCCTCTGAGTAGGAATTTGAGCCACTTCGGTTATGACCACGACCACGTCCACGGTCAATGTGACGGCCTCGTGCACGTCCATGTCCTTGTCCACGACCACGTGTTGGTCCATTTACTGCTACATTCGCTTCTGGGAATGGAGTGGAGCCGGTTGGACGAGATTCATGATTTTTCATTAAAAACTCATTATTTTGCTCGGCTACAAGAAGGCAAGAAATTAGTTCAGAATACTTTTTGAAGCCTTTTTCACGATATTGCTGCTGCAGGAGCACATTGGATGCATGAAATGTGGAGAATGTTTTCTCTAACATGTCTTCATCAGTGACTTTTTCTCCACATAATTTCAGTTGAGAATTGATTCTAAATATCGCAGAATTATACTCACTAACGGATTTAAAATCTTGTAAGCGCAAGTGCATCCATTCATAATGAGCTTTTGGGAGAATGACATTTTATGGTGGTCATACCTTTCTTTCAAATTGTTCCAAAGAATGAGTGGGTCTTTAATGGTCAAATATTTCATTTTTAGTCCTTCATGTAAATGATGGCGTAAAAAGATTATAGCTTTAGCATTTTTTTGATTAGATGCCTTATTTTCTGCCTTAATTGTGTCTCCCAGACCATTGGCATTTAGGTGAATTTCCGCATCTAGTACCCAAGATAAGTAGTTCTTCCCAGAAATGTCAAGAGCCACAAACTCAAGTTTTGTAAAGTTTGACATGATGGCACTACCACAAAAAAATATAATATTAAAAAAAAATTTGCTATGTATGGAAATTACATTGCTCTTCGTTAATGAGAAGAGAAAAAAAGAATTATAAATTACTAAAAGGAAACAAATGAAAAGAAAATTAAATGAGAAAGAGACAAAATTTAATTCCTTTCATATTTAAAAGGAGCACAAAACAATATATGGATTAAAAGACAAAACTTAATTAAAAAAAATGAACACTTGGAGTGGATTTAATCGACATATTCTTTAATAAATCCTCTTGAAGTCCCCAAAAAAAAAATACTATACGATTGTTCAAATGAGTGATTAGGACATGGTCTTTGTCGACTTCTATGTCAAAGTTGCGTTCTGGACATTCCCAGGACTTCAAGGGGGTGATAACGATGAATTGTAAACGCTGAATCACTCCTGAATTGGGAAGACGGTATAATGGATAACGGCTCTCATCTTCTCTTTTTCTCCCGAGTTTAAAAGAAAAATTAATTTGTCCCAATAATAATTACTCCTCAGGTCTTATTTATGGGGCAGAGAGAGAAGTTTTTTTGGTCCTATTTATAAGTCACTTCATTAAATTTTCAATGTGAATGTATTATTTGTCCTTCATTTATTATAGTGTAGGTGGTTATTCTTTTGAAATGTGCATATATTAAATATGGGTAAAGTTAGAAAATTGTTATATTTTAATGAAGAGTTAATATATTTTAAGATTTTTCTTAGTCTGTACAAAATATGTTAGAAGTGTCTTATAAATAGGATAAAAGAGTATTATTTTTCCACCAATAGTTAGTAACTTAGTATTGATCAACGAAATGACAAAAAAAATTAAATTATTTAACCTAGTATTGATCAACGAAATGATAAAAAAATTAAATTATTTTAAAAAAACGTAACTCAAGTTATTTTATCTATTATATTAAGTTTTTCAATCACGAATGATCATATATTTTTTTTTTGTTTTATGTGAATTTATGATTAAATATTATTAAATATTAATATTTCAAAAAATTGGACTAGTCTAACACTGATGATAAGGATAAGGTTTAGATAAAAAAAAACTTTGGTCTATTTACTTACGTACAATATATTCTTTCAATTAAACTCCAGTATATGAATTCTTTTAATAATAAAAATTCACATGAATAACATTTTAAAATTATGTTAAACTATCATTGATGCTAAAAATGACACGTGGCAAGATTTGATTGGGAAAAATGTACATAATGAATATAAGCAAATCCAGCTAAAGTTTGTTAGAAAAATAAAAATAAAAATATTCAAACAGAAATTTTTATTTCATATTTATATAATGAAAATTTGATGTTGAATAAAAAAATATAAAAATCACCCGTACTAAACATTTGATTTTACTAAAGCATTTTTTAGTCTTTTAACTTTATACAATATTTTAATTTAGTCTCTAAATTTTAAAAAGTACATTTCTAGTCTTTTAAGTCTAAAATAATTAAAAAATGATGATATTGAGAATTTGAATGTTAATAAAATATTCTCAAATATTACTATACAACCTCTTGTCTTAAATATAAGAATTAGTTAGCTAATTTGAGTAAATTAAAAAAAAAGTTAAATTAGTTATTGTAATAAATAGATATTGTCTTTTCTAAAATATTTTTGTTAATCAAGTGTATTAGTTAGAACTAACATTTTTAGAAGGACTACCATAAAAAAATAAATAAATATAAGAGACAAAATAAATTAAGATCTTATATTTAAAATTAAAATAACAGTTGAACAAAAGTTTATATTAAAGTCAAACAACTACGGTTGCTTAAAAAAACATCATTCAAGATTACTTTTGGCTTGAGGCCGGTACAGGATGAAACCGCTAATCATTTTAACCGCAGGCCTCGTTGATTATTATTAGGGGAAATCACAAATAAAGACCCTCGAATTAGTAAAATCACTCTATGATCACC